AGCTCTCATTTCTATTCTCAGCTCTAACCCTGACTCATAGTATGGATTGAAGTAAGTCACTTAACAGCTTTGGATCTCAGCTTCTCCACGTGAAAAATGGCAATTAAAATACTAGATAGAGGAACTAGCATTTATTGAGCAATTGCTCTATGTTGATGTGCTAAGTGGTTTATATGTTGTATCATTTCATTTATTCACTAGGCAAATATTTTTTGAACACGCACTACAGATTGTGTCTGGTCTCAGGGATCTATCAGGCACAAAACAAAGACCTTGCTCCCTTGGAGATTAAATTCCAGTGGGACTGGGTGGTAATAAACAAGAAAATAAATAACAAGATACTCTCAAATAGTGACCAGTGCTATTTAGATAATAAAACCAGATCATGTGATGAGGGTAACCTGGGGACAGGCTTACTTACACAGGGGGGGCTCTCTCAGACGTGATATTGGGAGTTGGAGCCTGAATGAGGAGGAGCAGCCTGCAGAGTCCAGAGTCCATGGGACAAGATCTGGGCAAGAGAACTCCAAGTAGACAGTAAGTGCAAAGGCCCTGATGCATGTAGACATTTAACCTGTTTGGAAAGCCTGGAGATTGAACGGCTGGGTGTGGTGGGAGGAAGTGGTCACTGAGATTAGAGCAGGAGCCAGACCACTGTTGCCTTTTGGACTGTGGTAAGGTATTTGGGCTTTATTTTGATTGATCAGATTCTTTTTTTTGTTAATCCTCACCTGAGGATCTTTTTCCATTGATTTTTAGAGAGAGTGGAAGGGAGGGGGAGAGACAGAGAGAGAAACATCAACATAAGAGACAAATCGATTGCTTGCCTCCCACACACTCCCTGACCAGGGCCGGGATTGAGCCACCAGGGCCGGGATTGAGCCTGCAACTGAGGTATGTGCTCAACTGGAATCGAACCCGGGACCTTCAGTCCGCAGGCCGACACTCTTAACCACTGAGCCAAAACTGCTAGGGCCTGATTTACATTTAAAAAAAATATTTACAGTCCAGGTATATTAAGGAACGTGATTACAGGAAAGTTGTCTAGGTGAGAGAAGCAAACTTTTTGGTAAAGGATCAGATAAATATTTCAGGTTTGGTGAGCCACATAAACTCTCTAAGGCACCTCCTCTTCCTCCCCTCTGTCTGGCACCTCCTCCTCCTTCTTTTGAAATGTAAAAATCCTTCTTAGCCCTCCCGGAGATACAGAAACAGGCGGTTGCATGCTGGATTTGTCTGCTTCACTGGGCAGTAGTTTGCCGACCCCTTGTTCAGAGAGAAGTAGTAACTGATTGCCATAAATTTAGGACACAGAACTGGTAGGATTTGCTGATGAACTGGCTCTGTGTGGGGAGGGGGTAAGAGAAAGAGGAAACAAGGATGGCCTCAGTGAAGAAGCAGAAGGTGGTGTAATTTACTGAGATGAGGAAGAAGCAGATTTGGGATGGGGGGAAGAGGAAATTAAGGGTTAAGTGTGAGTTGCCAATTAGTCATCCAAGTGGAGATGTCAACTAAGGGAAGAGGTCAAAGCTGGAGATCCACATTTGGGAGTTATCACCTATGGATGCATTTAAAGTCATGGGACTGGCCTAGCCAGTGTGGCTCAATAGTTGAGCACCAACCTATGAACCAGGGAGTCACGGTTTGATTCCTGGTCAGGGCACATACTTGGGTTTCGGGCTCAATCCTGCATGCAGGAAGCAGCCAATCAATGATTCTCTCTCATCATGGATGTTTCTGTTTCTCTCCCTATCCCTTCCTCTCTGAAATAAATAAAAATACATTAAAAAAACAAGTCATGGGACTGGATGAGATCACCCAGAGTGCAGTGCAGAGGGGGTTCTGGAATTTAGGGACCCATAATAGAGGTCCTTGGAATCACTCTCTGGGTCAAAAAGTATGACACGTGACCAATGCTGCCCAATTGCTGCCCATCTTGTTTTAGCTACTTAAATACACGCTGTGAGTGGGACTGTACACGCGGATGAGCAGGGACACCGGAATTAGGAATCCTTGGCTATTGTTGCCTTGGAGCCGGGGAGCATCAAGCCACAGTGGAGGATTAGGCTGGCTAAAGGAGGCGTTGAGAGGGAGGAAGTGCTTGAGGATTCCCAACCACAGAATCACCCAGCAAGCTCACTACAAATGCAGATTTTTACTAAGAGCTTTGAATTCATTGTCTGGGGTGAGGTGTGTTTTAAAAATGCTCCCTCTCATACAAACAGAAGGTTGAGAAATCGGTGGATTAGGGATAGATTGGGCGGAGGGTGTGTCCTCATGACGTTTCTTTACTTCCAGAGGCTCAGGGCTTCAGGAATCTTAGGTGGGTCTGGTTGGGGAAGTTTCAGGATGAGGGGATGGAAGGGGACTCTCAGGCCAGGAAGAAATTTGTTGGGACACTTTCCGTTTGCTCTTCAGTTCAGAATGAGGCCGTTTCTCCACAGTGATGTAAAATGGTACATTTTTCATGCAGATGCAACTGAAAAATGTGGGTTCCCCAGGAGTATCTACTTAGCCTTGTAGTTCCACAGCATAGAGGGGAGATTTTTTTTTCTGTCTTTATATGAAAACAAGAACACATTTTTCAATCCAAATACAAGATATGCATGTTGTTGATGAAACTGAAACCTCACTTTATATACATTACGGATTTGTGTGAAAACAGCTAAGGAATAATGTAAAGAATTTGCTGTTAGGCCTTCTGCTAGGACAGTGATGGCTAACCTTTTGAGCTCGGCGTGTCAGCATTTTGAAAAACCCTAACTTAACTCTGGTGCCGTGTCACATATAGAAATTTTTTGATATTTGCAACCATAGTAAAACAAAGACTTACATTTTTGATATTTATTTTATATATTTAAATGCCATTTAACAAAGAAAAATCAACCAAGAAAATGAGTTCACATGTCACCTCTGACACCCGTCATAGGTTCGCCATCACTGTGCTAGGAGCTAAGGAATCAATCTTGCATTCATTGAACCACTGTTCATTTTGCCTTCTAAATGCCAGGCACTATTTTAGATTCAGAAGATAAAGCAATGAACAAAATAGATAAAAATACCTGCCCCTCACAAAACAGATAACCTAGCTAGGGAAACAGATTCATAAACATGATATGTAAAATGTATATTATATTAGATAGTGGTGAGTGCTAAGGAGAAAAATATAAATGAGGGAAGGAGGGTAGGAAAGAATTAGGAACTGGCGGATGAGTGAGAATACAGGACAAGAAAGGATGAGACCTGTGATTTAGGAAAGTAAGAATTTCTCTAAGTCTCAATTTCTTCATCGGTAACATAATAAATAATAGCGCCTTCCCGAAGAAGGCTCAGGCCCTTAGACTGACTTTGTCACTTTTAAACTTTGAGCCTCTCAGAATTTCTTTGGCTTCTCTGAACCTGTTTTCTTATCTATGACATGAACAGACTCGTCCAGTCTATGTCACATGGTTTTTGAAAATATCACATGAGATCTGTGAAAACAGCTGAAAATGTAGATGCTCTTATCTAAATGTCAGATAGAAATTTAAAGGAAAAAACCACACAGCTAGTTTATGGGCTGCAAATCTCTTGCTGATGGTCAGCTGAGCCTCAGGACTGATTCCAAACGACGAATTACATAGCTGCTTGGTACCGATTCCCTACACTGCAGGGAAAAGGCCCACGAAAATTATCAGAAGATTATCAGGACGTACCAGTAGACTAGCAATCTTATCTTAGATCAGGAATAAAATAAACTAAACGTTCCTAAGTGGACACCTCATAAAATAGTTGTAGCATGTTATTTGTCAGATTTTAAAATGCTTTATTGCTCCTTTATGTTTGTTCTTGTTTTGTTTGTGGGACTTCGTTTCCAGGAAAAGAACTACATGGATTGCAAGCAGTTACAAATAAAGAATAATCATTTAAATTACCAAGAGCAGCCCTGACCAGTTTGGCTCAGTGGATAGAGCATCGGCCTGTGGACTGAAGGGTCCCAGGTTCGATTCCGGTCAAGGGCATGTGCCTTGGTTGCGGGCACATCCCCAGTGGGGAGTGTGCAGGAGGCAGCTAATCGATGTTTCTCTCTCATCGATGTTTCTAACTCTCTATCCCTCTCCCTTCCTTTCTGTAAGAAGTCAATAAAATATATATATTTTAAAAAATTACCAAGAGCAGATAGTCCATACTCTGGGTATTTCTGTAGATACTCAGTAAACACTAACCAAAGTAGATGATTTCAAACACAGACTGGCGTGTATTCCTTTTTCATCTTTATATTTTCTTCGGTCCTGAATATCTGATAGCATCCCAACAGTGGTTTGTTCAACCAATAAACATACTGGTATACACCGCAGGGTATATAGCGTCTGGCACATAGCAGGTACTCAGTAAATAACTGTGAAACAAAAGCACGATTACTGTGTAAGTTTGCTTACTACAGACTAGCCACTTGGATCCCTAAAATGTGTGTGCGTTTAAAACACACAAATTCTTGCCTTCCCTTGACAATGCTCCTCTGGTAAACCGAATTAGGTCCTGCTCTGAGACTGGCTTAAGACAGTGTTTTATTCCATTGAAATACAAAACCCAAAGTCAGTTTGAACATTACCTAGTCTAGTGGGCGCCCAACGTTTGCTAAATAAGATGCACATTCAGAAAGCAAACAGTTACGCCAGCCCAAATATCCCACTCAGGAGCCTGAACGGGCCGCCCGGCCGGTTCACAGCTACCGGGTGACCTCCAGACCTTCTCTGAGGCGCCGGCCCCCGCTCGCCTCGGAGCCACGGAGTCTTTCCGCTCAGCCTCCCCAAGTTTTCCTCTCAAGCGGTCAATGTCCCGGTTGTCATTCAGGCGGCTTTGCACTGCGACTGCGCACCCTCCGCCTCCGCCCCGTCCTCCCCCCGCGCCCCGGTGGCAGCCCGACCGGCCCAGCAAAGGGCCTTGTGGCTGTTTCCTATTGGGCCTCGGTTGCTATGGTATCGCACCCGCCTTAAAACTTGCAAGCACTGCTTCCGCCAGTTGAAGGAGAATTACTTCCGGGTCTGCCCTTACTTGTTATGGCTGACTGAACAGTCACTGAACTCAACACAAGTAAGTTTCCCGGAAATTTTCTAGAAAATTTTACTTAGCCACTCTAGCTTGTTGGTGTGGCGTGATATCATGTCCTTTTTCCCCTTTTATAAGATTTACTATATTTTTGTTGTTGTCTATTTGCCAGTCTCCAAAATGGCGCCTGCGCCGCCGGTAGGCCAGAGGTGAGTCACGTGGGCCCTCCGGTTCCGCCGTGACCGAGGCCCCGGTGTTAATCGTCTCCGGCACCATGTCTCGTTTGTCTGGCCTACAAGTCCAGCGTGGCCCTTGCCAGTTAGCATTGCTGCTTTTACCTCTCCTGCTCGGCCCCAGTTCGGTTCTCGCCATCTCCTTCCATCTGCCCATCAACTCTCGCAAGTGCCTCCGCGAGGAGATCCACAAGGACCTGCTGGTGACGGGCGCGTACGAGATCACCGACCAGTCTGGGGGCGCTGGCGGCCTGCGCACCCACCTCAAGGTGCGGCCCAGGGCGGGGCGGGACGGGAAGACCTCGGGCGTTGGCTTGGAGAGGCCGAGGATGGGGGTAGGGGGTGGCTGCCTGGCCTC